CATAAACCGGAAGCCCCAGGGGATTTTAATCTTGTCTGATCTGGGGGCAGCCTCTCCCAGTTCAGAGTCAAAGATTTTGCCCAAAGACACAGAGGTAGACGAGGAACTGTTGCTAGCTATCTCCTGTTGTTCACTTTTTTCTTCTGTGGCCTTCTCTTCCCCTGCTTTCTCCCTTTTCTTTGTTGAACTCGGATGCTGCTTCAAGAATGAATCTGCTTTGGTGAGAGAGTCAATTTTTTCCCTTTTACCGTTATAATTGAAAATAAGTCCTTCTGGTAAAATCCATCGATACCGAATGTTGTTTCCTTGGAGAAATGTTGTAATATTTCTGTATTGCTGCCTCTTCTTCCGTATTTCAAATGGAACATCTTTCAGCACTTTTATGTCTGCCTCTAGGATTTTTAATATTGTTCCGTTTGTTGCTTTAAGTATTAGATCTCTTGTTGATCTTCTTGCAAATTTAACAAATACTTCTCCTGGAAGATTATTTTTCTTCACAAACTCTGAATATGTTCTGTAAATCATATCTATATCCGCTTGTAATATTTCAGGTTTGCTATTGATCAGGGGGCCAGTGCTTCACTGAGGATCTATCTTAGATTCTTGATTAGATCTCTTGTTGATCTTCTTGCAAATTTAACAAATATTTTCCTTGAAAGATTATTTTTCTTCACAAACTCTGAATATGTTCTGTAAATCATATCTATATCCGCTTGTAATATTTCAGGTTTGCTATTGATCAGGGGGCCAGTGCTTCACTGAGGATCTATCTTAGATTCTTGTCTTGTTTTTCTGGGACCCCTTGAAATCTCAAAACATATAGAGATCTTTCCACTTGTAGTTGTAATAATTGTTGCTTTTCAGAAGCTCTTTCTTTATCTGCTACATTCATTCTTTGGTTCAATTCTTTGGACTTACATTCAACCTTTTTTATCTTTTGGACAGTCTTCTTTTATCTTACGTTAGTCTCTTTCAGTTCTTGATGCAAATCATCAAATTTCTTATTGAGGTTCATCAGCTGGTCCAGCAGGGGGTGAAAGGCTTCAGAAATTATACCAGCAATATCAAAAGTAGTTCCTGATCTGATCTTGGGATCCTGTTCCTTGATCTTGATCCTGTTCCTGTTGTCATTTTGACTCTGGTCTCCATTTCCCCCCCTTGCTGCGTCATTGTTTACATTAAGGTAAAAGTTTTTTTAAAGTTC